GGCCGAGGATGAGGTGGCAGACACCAGGTCACTCAGGCCGTTTGGATGTCACCCTAGGTGTCACTGCAGTGCTTTAAGGAACGGAATGTGACTGTCCTATGTTTCAAATCATCCCCTCCAGCAGTTGTATGGAGAATGTTTACAGGGGAGTAAGAAACACAGCAGGGGCTCTGGGAGCCCAGTAGAATTTGGTGGTAAGGATTTAGCAAAGAGCTGCCAGGAGGGTACATGCAGTGGTCCAGGAAGTGACCACAAGATTCGGCCAAAAGAGAATGGTGTGTGCGTCACTAGACAGGAGCAGCCAGTGGTTCCCTGGTGACAATGGACGTACAGGAGACTAGATGATTTGTTAAGAGAGGTTTGCTGTGGAGGAAAGCACAGGTATGGTGCAGAGGGTATGGTTGAGGGACAGCTAATTTGGCATTTCTGTACTAATGTCTGATTTCCTGGGTTCACTCAACAAAGTGCCACACACTTGGTAGCTTAAAACAACAGAAATCTGGGCCAGGAATTTAGCTCAGTGGCACTGCACCTGCCTTGAAAGCAGTTTGATCCCCCATACCAAAAAACAAACAAGCAAACAAACAAACAAACAAAAAAACACCCAGAAATCTGTCACAATCCAGAGGCCAGAAATCTCCAGAGGCTCTTGCAGAGAATTTGTTCTGTCATTTCCAGTTTACTGGCTGCCCCTCTGCTGCTTGGCTGTGGCCCCAATGTCTCCAGTTTCTGCCTTCAACTTCACATGGCCTGCTCTGCATGTCTAACTATCTGATAAAGAGCAACTGCACTTACAGGCCACCCGGATAATCTGCGTAAGCCTCTCCTCTCGCCTCTCAAGAGCCATATAAGGGAAGTTCCTTCCTTCTGTCCCTTTCTACTTTCCTCCCTTACTTCTTTCTTTCTCTCCTTCTCTCATCCTTCTTTGTTTTTAACCATATAAAGGGCATATTTTTTGAAGGGCCACCATTCAGCCCAGGACTATAGGGATGATCTGGCAAAGAAAGATAATAGTGACTATGCAAGAGAAAGAAAGGAGAATAAGGAGGGGAGTGTTTGGGAAGGTTGGAGGGGTAAAACCCACAGCTGAATATTTTCCTTCCCATTTTATTTTTAAACAAGATTAACTGTAAATTTTATGGTATATGGTTTGGGGTTGTTTGTTTTTACAGTACTAGGGGTTGAACCAAAGGAGTACTGAAGATTTATTTCCACTAGTTTTTAAATTTTGAAACAGGGTCTCACTAAATTGCTCAGGCTGGCTTGGAACCTGCAATCTTCTTGCCTCAGCTCCCTGAGTACCTGGGATTACAGATCATGTCAGATGCAACTCAGTCTTCAAAAGTTTTGAAAAACATTCAGAATCCCCTGACAACTCCCACCCTAAATAGAGACCACATTTCTACCCCAGGCACAAAGTCTTGCTGAGAAATCTTTATTATCTACCTCCCACACTAGACATCTGAGCATAGCAAAGTCTCAGTGTGGCACTGGGCAGGAAGAGTGACAGGATCAGGGTCCAGGGACAGGACAGACAAACATGTCCCCTCCATTCTGGTGCTTGGCCAGCCAACCAAACACTCCCTTGCCAACACTCTCCTTCAGCTCCTCTGGGAAAAGAGCTGGCCTTCAGTGAAAGGGGAAACTGAGACCATGGAGCCAGGCAGGGAGAGCTCCCAGAAAGAGTGAGTCACACAGCCACCCCTGAGCTCAGCTGAGAGCGGCGTGAAAGGAAACAGGGTTAGATGTGGGAGGAGGAACCGGAACCGGAACCATCTAGAGGATGAAGTGACAGCCGGGCAGCTGCGGGCAGACACATCGCCCACCCCCCAGAGCCCATGAGCTTGCTTCCTGGCTTTGCCCACCTCCATCACCACCCACTCCTGACAGCTCCCTACACTGCACCCTCCTCAGGACTGTCTATGCACTGAACTAGAAGAAATAGACCTGTTTAGGGACACCTCTCCACCGAAGCAAAGCAGGGCCCGGTGTGAGCATCCCCTTTTCAAATCAGGCTAAAGGTAGCATTTTTAAAGCTTCATCTCTGGGCTCCCCTTTCCTCCTGTACCATTGTCTCCTTCACTTTAGTAACTATGTTGCCAACTAGGTGGTAGCTGGGGGCCTCACACTCACAGCCTTGAGGCATAGATACTTTTGAGCCCACAGGACCAGGGAACTGGAATCAAGCCCAAGAATGGCTTCTGCCCAGGCAGGAGGCACGCCAAGGCCTAAACTGCCCTTCTTCCAGTGATCTTCACAGAGAGACACCTTTTCCAAACAGGCACTTCTGACTTGACTCCACCTACAGCTCCACAAACCCTAGGAGGGCCTCAGAGCCAAGCCAGAGAAGTCACTATACTACCTAGCCCGTGTCAGCCAAGCAAAGGGAGCCTCAAGTCCTCCCAAATCTAGGAGGGTTCTCAAACTTTGGTAGAACTAGAAGATCCTGGCTAGATATCAATACTGGAACCACATACATACTCCACCCCAGATTCTGTTTCAGTAGGGTCAGATGTAATCTGCATTTTCTTTGAGACACTAGCCATAAACCTCTGGGCTCAAAAAATCCTCCTGCCTGGGCTTGGGATTTAGCTGCCTGCCTCACAAGTGCAAAGTACTGAGTTTGATCCCACATACCCCCCGCCCAAAAAAAATCTTCCTGCCACAGCCTCTGGGTATTTGGGCCTGCAGGCATGTGCATCTAGCTCCCTGTAATCTACATTTTTAACCTAGTCACCAAGGTCACACTCTGAACTGCTGAAACAGCTGAGGGCAGAAGGCCTGCCTCAGCTGCAAGCTCCCAGGAGAACTCGGGGAAACCAAGGACCTAAAGTAAAACTCCAGTCCACCAGGGTTGGGTGCCAGTGTCATGAGTGGGTCAGACACCCATTCCTTCCTGGGACAGGAGCTGGGTAGCTGCTTGTGCACCTCTCCTAGACCTCTGAGCTTTGCAGACAGGTCAGAAGACAGGGAGGGCAAGTCTTCAGGCAACCCCACTCAGTATTCTCCCTACCCCTCATCTACATCTTACACTCCTCCCTTAGCAAATGCAAAGAAGTTAGGAGCCTGTGATTCACATCTTTTCCCTTAAGACACCCACACCCATTTTTTTTCAAGACCCCACCCAGCACAAACCAGGACAAGAATGACCAGATTAAACTTTTATGAATTTCCTGATCTGTCCATGTGGCAGTAACTCCCAAGTGAACTGGAGCGTTTCTGAGTCTCTGCCAGGGGCAAGCCCAAGGGGCTTCCCTTAGATGGGCAACTCATGCCTGGGGACATGTGACTGTTCTGCTGCAAGCCAAAAAAAAAAGTCCAAAAGGCAATGAGTACCCACTAAGAAGGACAACAGTCAGGGTAGGGACCCATAAGAGAGACGAGAACGCTGTGCCACCCTCAGCCTAAGAAGTCCCTGGGCTCTGTCACACCTGATGGGAAGCATGGAAGCCTCCTGGTCTGATGCCAAGGGCAACAGCACACAAAACAGGCCAGACATGAACTGAAGGCTCATGGCCTGCCCAGCAAGAGGTTCCTGTTCCCACTGGGACCCAGGACACAACTTACAGGGACTAGGCTCAACATACCTCTTACTAAAAAGGCTTCTGGGAGCATCTGACTGCTCAATTCACACTAACACTTCCCTTACAACCACTTTACTACAGGCAGGATCCTCAGCCAGAAAAAGCAGTTTTTCTTCCTTTTTCAAACCTGGTACCACATAGCCTTGTGAGATGACCCGATGGAACAGGTGAGAACACAGTGCCAGCTGAGTTCCCATCCTGGTTCTGACACTCATAACTGAGACACCATCCTGTGCAATATTCCTGTCTTATGGGCCACCAGTTCCTCGTCTACAAGATGCAGGTAACAGCATCTGTCCTCTGGAATTACTACAAGAATTAAAGGATATACATTTAATTCAAGTTGTCCTGCATATAGTTGGCTCTTGATAAATGCATTCCTTCCCTTCCCACTCTCATAACTTAGCTTCCCTGCCTCAGCTCCAAATCTAAAATGATCTCAAGCTTACCTTAGAAACACCGACACCAAAGACAAAGAATAAATGTTTTCAACAAACCTTCAACTTTGAATTCATCGGCTACAAACGGGGATCCCCTCCCCTTCTTGGCTGGCTCCATCCCCTGAATTCTATGCCTTTTCAGTGTGGGAAAAGGGAGAGTTGATTTCAGCATATTCTGAGAAAGAGTGGACAAGTTTGCCCTCCAGTTTCCCAGAGTCCTGGAAGTGCTTGTAAACAGGGTTACACAAAAGAATGAAGGCTCTAAGGCCGCTCATTGATATTTGGTGAATCAATAGGCTCTGTAACTCTTAAAAGTATCTGGAGGTGATCTGACTCACCATTAAACATGCAGGGACCTGTGTCCACAGCGTTCCCCAAAGTATCCTGACACTTTCCCTCGCTCTGCCTGGCTGCCTCATTTAGCATCAGGCACGTTCTGAAGCTGGGTCGTGACTAGCGTCCATTCTAAAAAGCGCAAATTCCCAACGTCCGACGTGGCCTTGCCTTTGGTTGAAACCTGCCGACCCCCAGAATCCACCGGGCGGGTCTGGATCCGGTGCCCCGCTGTGGGGCGGCCGCTCTTTGACACCACCCCACCCCGGGGGTTGAGGGGGAGGAAACCGCCTTCGCCGCAGGGTGGAGAAGCGAGCACCCCTCTCGCTCCCGGGCTTCCGATGGGTAACCAGAGCTGGAGCTGCGTGCGCTTCCTGGAAACCCCTAGACTTGTCCCTACAGATCCCCTTGGAGGAACGCACACATTCAGGGCGTCCGCGGGGACAGAGACTGCCGGGTCCTGCACCGGGGCACCGAGGGGTCTCAGCAGCGTGGGCATAGTGATTTTAGGGATGACCAATACTCTCCAAGCTGGGAACCACAGCTCCGCGCGCCCCGCCGCCCCTACTCTGGCCCGTCTGGGGTCCCCGGGTTTGGAGACGGCGATTCTGCGGGGTTTGGCCGAGGACCCCACGCGCCTCACCTGAGCGGGACACGGATAGCCAAGTACCTGTCGACCGCCACTGCCAGGAGGCTGAAGATGGAGCTCTGTGTGAGCACGAGCACGAAGCAGGCGAGGAAGAGGCAGCTGTGGAAGTCCGTGCAGAAGCCCAGGCTGATGGTGATGGCAAAGGGGATGGCGAACAGCCCCACGGCCACGTCGGCCGCAGCCAGGGACACCAGGAAGTAGTTGGTGGGCGTCTGCAGCGCGCTCGACGAGCCCACCGCCGCGCACACCAGCACGTTACCGGTCACCGACAGCACGGCGATGGCCAACTCCAGCGCCACGTAGAGCGCGTCCTCAGTCTCTAGCGGCATGGCCGGGCCAGCTGGGCCCCGGGTACCTCCTACCAGCCTCGCGCCGGGCGCGGGACAGCCGCGTGGACCCCGCTAGGCATGGCCGGAGAGCCAGCACCGCACCTCAGTCAGCGGTGTCTGGGCGGCCGGGCTCTCGGGCTCCAGACCCGGGGGCTGGGGGCGGGGCCGAGATTGGACGGCAGCGCTCATTGGCCCTCGCCCCCGCCCGTCCCGCGAAGCACCACCCCGTCGCCCTAGCGGAGCTTCTTTAGGATCTAACAAGCTGCGGTTTCCAACTTTCCCTCCAGCTACAAAGTCGGAGGCTGAGTCCCGAGCGATCGGCTGTGCCCAGTTCTCGGGATAGGTACCCAGAGTTCCCGACAGACCCGGAGTTTGGGAGCAAAAGACAGAAGTGGAGAAGGGGCTTGCTCAAAGCCACTCCACGCCTGGTGAGGCGCGCGAGGTCCCCTGCAAGCGCGACGAGACTCTGCGGGGCCGAGGGAAGCGGCTGCTCGCACAGGTTCAGCACAGCGGCCGCCCGGGGCCGCTAGTTCCTACCTGCGATGCCGGGCAGGCCCAGACGGCGAGGTTCCCTCCCGCTGCACCTCGATCTCCGCCCCTCACCAGCCGCAGCCCCTCTGAAAGGCCTTGGGCCATACAACTCCTCGTACACCCACAAAGTACCAGTGTTCCCGGGTCCTCTTATTTTAATTCCTTTGGACGTAATCTCGATATGTAGCACAGATTGCCCTCGAATTCGCGATTCTCTTGCTTTATTAAAGGCGTGTGACACTACATTGGGCTCCCTCAGGACCCTCTTTTCAAACTTCGCACTCGCCTGGATTTGCTCAGGCTTCTTATGAGACCCTCAACATCTTTAACTTCCAAATGTCGTCCCTCCAGCCCTATCTTCTCTCTTGAGTGCCAGATCTGCCCACTGTAGGATTTGCCAGGGACAGCCTGATGCTCCCAAATCCACCCCCAAAAGCAGGCTCCTCCAATCCTCCCGCAAAACTGCGCTGTTGCCTCTGTGTGGGATTCAGTGGTTGACTGTGACACTGTGCTCATCTACACCAAAAGTAAGGGATACTCTTGCCTCCACCTTCCCCTACTCCAGATGACCAACAGTTTCACTTGTCCTTGCGTCTTTCGCCCCCAAACTTGTGCCCCAAGTCCAGGCTCCCGCCAGTTCCCCTATTCCTCCCCTTTTGTGCCCGTCCTTCTGTCAGCTTGTAACACCAACACAATCGTTTCAGAACACACCTGGTTGTGCCATTCACCCACCCGAAAGCCACTGCCAGCAGTCACCATGCAGAATAGTTAAGGAGATTGTCTGGCAACAGGAAAACAATTTAAAAATAATGTAGGGCCAGGGATTTAGCTCAGTGGTACCAGCGCCTGCATCACAAGCGCAAGGGCCCAAGTTCGATCCTCAGTACAAAAAAATAAATAAATAAAAATAATGTTAAGGCAAACAAGGAATTACTGCTACACGATAAAGGATTTATTTGGGTAATGAAAATATTCTAAAAGTGGCAGTGATTGCACAACTCTGAATAAACACTGAGTTGCACTCTTTAAATGGATGAATTGTATAGTATATAAAAGATATTTCAATGGATTTGAAATAATAACAACATAGCCCCTGCTGCCTCCAGCAGGCATGAACAGTAACATCTACCTAAGTAATAACAAGGACAACTTCTGCTGCCACATGGATGATAAACTGGGACCTTAGAGGGACCAGGCATCTTGTCCAAGAGCAATTCTTGGAGTGGAACAGGGGAAAGAATCTCCTTAGGGTAGCAGCTTTTGCAGAGTGGGCAAGACCTGGACGTAGGCAAGTGGTGGTGGACAGGTATAGGATCAGAGGGCCATTCGGGGTAAACTGAGGCAAAGGGCTTGCTCAAGAACAGCAATGTCTGGGAGAGTAAAGGATGCCTGGCCAGGGACAGTTCTGTCAGGATGGGGTGCACCTGGTTCATTCTGCTGCAGGTGCTGGTTGCCAGTCCTAGGAGATCTCTGAGTGAAGAACGATAACAGAAGCATTATCTGGCAGAAGTACTGGACAGTTAATGAGGGAGAAGGTGCTAGACAGAAGCCAACTGTTTGCTGTGAATGGTTACTACACACCCTATAGCCTTCAGGCCTTGGGCTCAGCTCCAGCATTTTCTGTGCCCAGAATCCCGTTTCTTTTCAAAATCCCAACTTTTTAAAGGAAACCTTCCTGATTCATCTGAGTAGGAAGAGTCTCCTAGTCCTGACTGTGCATTTTCCCTAGCAGTCTGAGTTCTATGTCCGCAATGTCACTCACCAGCAGAGTTCCACTCCTCTCAGTCCTCTCCCCACCACAGCCACCATCTAACACAGTGTCCTTTGTTAAATGCGACTACTATTCCCTCTCCGTAATTTCCATGAGAAGTGTTCTGAGATTCCTAATTCTATCAATCATGCTAGGATTTGAACTGGATCCATTGGGTTCTTGGGGATGGCAGTAATAGCAACAGGGAATTGTTCAGGAAACACAAGGAGGAAGGGTGAAGTCTGGAGGGAGTCATAGGACTTAGTCTTGAGAGCGACTGGGGAGCCACAAACAGAGCCCAGGTCACAGCCCAAAGTTTTCAGGTTTAATTTTCAACTCTGCAGTTGGCCTTGGGCAAGTAAATTAATCATTCTAAACCAACATTTTTTATATGTAAGATAGGATTGAAAGAAATCCCTGTCCAATCCAGCTCAGATTGGTCTCTCTATTTCTGAGGCCTCTAGCAAGTTGGATTAAACAGCTATTGGATCTTCTGGCTTTCCAGCATGAAGATGGCCATTGTGGGCCGTCTCTCTCTTTCTCTCTCCCTTCCTCTCCACCCCCCTACCCTTTGAGACAGGTTCTGGCTATGTTGTTCAGGGTGGCCTTGAACTCTATGTAGCCTGGGCTGGCCTCGAACTTGAGGCAATCCTCTTGCCTCAGCTTCCCAAGTGCTGGGATTTCTGGTGTGTGCCACTATGCCTGGCCTCCCACCTCTGATCCTAAAGCTAAGCTAATGAATTTCCTCTCTATTACACACACACACACACACACACACACACACACACACACACACACACATAGTCCATTGTATTGGTTAGTGTTCTTTAGAAGAACAGAATCAATAGAACATTAATTCTGTTGATCAGAGATTTTAATTGATTAGAGAAGTTTGATCAACACACATTTCTAAAAATATAACACGCCAACTCTGGGAATTGGGTTCTCCTTTCCTCCAGGGTATGTGGTTGTTGCTGCTAGTTGCTAATGTTGCTGGTTGTTTAATGAATATTCTGTGTTTTCTGTGTTAACCATTTACCAGCCCAATTATTTAAATACAAGATGACCCAAATTGCAGTTGTTAATTTTTATAACAGGAAATATAAAAAAATTATCAAATTCATTCAATATCAATGATGAATGTAACTGTACTGTATACCTAAAACATACTGATAAACTCAATGAAAAAAATTTATTCAATACGAGAATCAACTGATTGTTGAAATGGCACCTGCCTGAGTGACACTCAGGATAGTTAGTACCTAAAAAAAATGTGTTCATTCGGAATATTAGCCTGTAGTTCTCTTTTTTGATTGTATCCTTCTCAGTTTCTGGTATCAGGGTAATTCTTGACTCCAGGAATGAAGTGAGAGTATTGCTTCACTCTCATTTTCATTAGAGTTTGAGAAGTACCAGCATTAAAATCTTCTCTAATTTTTTGTAAAATTCAGCAGTGAATCTGTCAGGGCCTGGGCTTTTCTTTGCTGGTAGGTTTTTCATTACATATTCAATTTCATTGACTGATATTGGTTTATTAAAAATTTTTATATTTTCTTGATTCAGTTTTGGTAATTCACATGTATCTAGGAATCTCTCCATTTGTTCTGTATTGTCCATCTTACTGGCATACAGGTTCTCAAAGTAGGTATTGATGATCTTCTGGATTTCCATAGGATCTGTTGTGATTTCACCCTCTTCATTCCTAATTGCATGGATTTGAGTCCCCCCTCCCTTGTTTTGATAAGGTTGGCTAAACATTTGTCAATTTTATTAACTCTTTCAAAGAACTAACTCTTCAATTCATTGATTCTTTGTTGTTGTTTTTAGTCTCCATTAATTGAATTAATTTCTGCTCTGATTTTATAATTTCCTCCCTTGTTTGAGCTTTGGGCTTGACTTACTCTTTTGCTAGAAGCTTGAAGGTCAACATTAGGTTGTTTATTTCAGCCTGCTCTGTTTTCCTGATATGAGTATTCATCACTATAAATTTCCCTCATAGAACTGCTTTCATTGTGTCCCATAATTTCTGGTATGTTATATTGTCATTATCATTTAATTGTAGAAATTGTCTGATTTCTTCTTCTGTTGTTGTTGTTGTTGTTTTGATTGGTTTGGTTTGGGTTTTATTGGTACCAGGGATTGAACTCCAGTCCTTGCACTTGCAAGGCAGGTGCCAGAACCACTGAGCTAAATCACCAGCCCTGTTGTTGTTTTGAGACAGGGTCTCACTATGTCATTGGAACTCATTATGTAGCCCAGGTTGGTCTTGAACTCACAGCGATCCTCCTGCCTCAGCCTCCTGAGTGCTGGGATTACAGGCATGTGCCACCATGCCCAGCTGTCTGATTTCTTCTTTAATTTCATCTGTGACCCATTGGTTATTCAGGAGGGTGCTATTTTGTTGTTTACGAAGCTCTTCTGGCTTCTTTTTCCATTGATTTCCAATTTCATTGCACTATGGTCTAACAATATGCATGGGATAATTTCAATTCCTTTGCATTTACTTAAGCATGATCTACAAGCTGGTATATAGTCTATTTTGAGAACATCCTGCGGGCAACTGAGAAGAACGTATATTCTGATGTTGTGTCTGTAGACATCTACTGAGTCCATCTGTTCAAAAGTTTGGTTCAGTTCTGATATTTCATTGTTGATTTTTTGTCTGGTGTAGTTTTTTTGTCTATTTGTGGCAGTTTATTGAGGTCGCCAATTACAACTGTATTAGTGCTTATGTGATTTTTTTCATGTTCAGTAATATTTCTTTTATACAGTTGGGTGCACTGCTATTTGGTGCATATATATTTATGATTGTTATCTTTTCCTCT